TTTTTTATCTACAACTGGCTAAAACTAAATTTACACTTTTATGATATTAATTTTTAAGTTATAACTGTATTGATGCATATTAAATAAAATTTATGTAGAGAAAAGTTATACAGTCAAAAATCGTGCTAAATAGTGATCGTCGCGTCAGATTAATCGCACAACATATAAAAATTTTCACTCGTTTATTGTTTCAAATTGCAAAGAATATATGTATTATGTAACTATCTTTTCCGTTATTTTAAATGGATATAATTTATTTATTATAATTGAATTGTTCAAACTATGAAATAATGCTTTTGTTTTATTTCTACGATATTTATAGACACTATTTTTAGTTTCACAATTTTTATACGATTTATATACGATTAAACAATTAAATTAATTATTTCATTCAATAAGTCAACGTCATTTCGCTTAAGTACATTGTTCAACATTCTTATAAATTATTAATTAAATATTTTAAATAACACTAAGAAATACTACAGAAGAGTATTTATTGTTTAACTGTTGCAACTAAATTATCGGGAATAGTAGATAATGTTTAAAAAGATAGAATATTCAATAATATTATTTAAAAACTCACCCCCAAATTTTGGTCGATGTGCACACGACGGAAGTTCAATTGGTAATGAGTCTCCGTACCGCTGAAGGTTAATTTAATATTCCGATTGTCAGTGACCCGGAACTGTTGATAATTTTTTTTCAAACTATTAATATTTTGTCTATGTGCACACGACGGAAGTTTAATTTGATAATGAGCCTCCGTGTCGTTCAAGGTTAATGTATATTTCCTTTGTCAGTAATTGGAAACTGTTGACAATTTTTTTCAAACTTCTAAATTTAGTCGATCTGCCAACGACCAAAATTCAATTCGTAAAAAGATCTTGTCTCCGTATCGATTGACATTAATCTGATCTTTCGGTCGTTAATAATGCGAGACAGATAATGAATATTCCTTAAGAATGTATTAGTGACAAGAATATTACAAACGATTAATTAAAAATTTTAAACAACACTTAGAAACATTACAGAAGAGAATTTATTGTTTAATTGTTACAAATAAATCATTAGAAATATTAAATAATGTTTAAACAATTAGAATATTCAGAAATATTATTTAAAACTCACTCCTAAATTTTGGTCGATGTCCACACGAAGGAAGTTTGATTGATAATGAACTTTCGTACCGCTTAAGGTTAATATATGTATATTTCGGTCGTCAATGATCCAGAACAGCTGATAATTTTTTTCAAACTTCTAAAATTTTGTCGATGTACACACGACGGAAGTTTGATTGATAATGAGCCTCATTACCACTCAAGGTTACTCTTATGTTTCAGTCGTCAGTGATCAGGAAAAATTGATAATTTTTTTCAAACTTCTAAAATTTTGTGCACACGACGGAAGTTTAATTGGTAATGAGCCTCCGTACCGTTCAAGGTTAATATATATTTCGGTCGTCAGTAATATAGTGAACGGTTGATAATTTTTTTCGGACTTCTAAAATTTGGTCGATATGATACTGTCAGTATGCATAGCAATGTGCATACTGCTAATAACCCAGTAGCGGGTTTTATAGCGTATTAAAAAAGAAACAAGCAGTTCGTATAATAATTTGATTAAACAATGCTATGATTACATTAGACAACAATAGTTGAACCAGACATTTGGTTCAATCAAAAATTCACTGTCAGTCTGATTGACATTGTGTTTACACGAACAACTTGAAAACGAAAGATTCAGTTGTTAGACAACCAAAAGTTTGCTTAATGTAAACGCAGCTTTAGAAACATCTTGAGAAGTAGTGCCAACGTGATGGAAACTTTGCGAGCGAACTCGTTCAAGAGTTTTTCATCTCGCGGCTGGATAGATAACGAAGAAATTTCGTCTGGCTCTACACGATCGTTCGAAACTCTTTTCTCGAGGATTGCTAGGAAATTTCGTAAAAAAACAATTTAACTTTGCGAACTTGTCGAGGTTGGATCCTGTCAATGACTCTTCTTTAATTCAATTTAATTGCCTGTGGAAGATCTGACAATTTTTCATTAATTAATACATTTTACAATAATATGTGATATATTATACATATTGAATATTAGTTCTTGAATTTTCTAGAGGAACAATTTATTAATATTATTCTCTAATATTAATTCTCTGATATTATCTTTATTGAAGTATTTGCAAATTCTTCAAATGTTTATATATCTTTGTAACTCGTGAAAATTATCCAGAATCTCCAAGATAATTGAAAATTTCCCAGTTATCTCTGAAGTGGTAAAACACTCTCCAAAGTTATTTCTGTAATCCATAAAAACTCCCCAAAATCTTTGATGTGTTTGAATATGTTCCAATGTTATCTTCGAAATACCTGAAATTTATCATTATACTTATTCTTCAAATTTATCTTTGCAGCGTTTGAAAATTTCCCCCGGTTTATATTTGAAATGCTTGGAAATTCTCCGCAGTTATCTTTGAAATGCTTGGAGATTCTCCGCAGTTATCTTTGCAGCCCGTAAAAATCCACCGTAAGTTATCTCTGCAGTGCCTCGAAATTCTTCAAAGTTATCTCTGAGAAAGTGCCTCGAAGTTCTCCAATAAAATCCAAAAAAAGAAAGCTATTCGCAACAGCTGAACTGACGCAAGTCAACAAACTCGTTGTCCGACGATGTAGCTCGAAGATTAATCGCACAACTGAGAAATTTATCCGGAATATCAAGCTGCCATGGTAAATAAAGTTCGGCAAGTGGAGAGCTCGATTTACCGTTTCTCGTTCGATCGACGCATTAACGTAATAAGATTCGTCGACGAGTTTTGCCGCCATATTCTTCCGGATGAAATTCCTCGCGTCGCACCGTGGTTGGATTCGTAACGATCCAGTCTGCTCTTCAACTTTTAAAAGTCGATAACAAGTTCGGTTCGCAACTGCGAGAGTGGCTCGGATAGATCGTTCCTTTCTTCCACCCTCGTTCGTCCACCGCCGAGTTTCAGAATTAATCGTTCCTCTTTCGGGTTTCGTCGAACGCTTTCGAGCATGAGCTAATCTCAAACTAATAATACCAATTGTAAGCACGTTCGATCGAGGGATTAATCGTCAAATGAAAAATATAAAATAAAACTGGGACTGGGGATTGATACGCAAAATACTTCGAACGTGAAGCGATCGGAGTATAAAATAAAAGATTATAGAGCGTCCGATGGATATATCAAATATTGAATGTTTCAAACGCAAACATAAAACATTTTAAACGTTTTGTAAAATGTTCCAACGGCGGAATATCCACGAGCGTTGAATTTTCAATGCGCGTAATACTCCGCAAACGAAGTACAGAATATTCTAAACACAAAATATTTCAAGCGTGTGTTCCCTAAATACAAAGTTTCGTTTAAAACTTCATTTGCACAATATCAATTCAGCATAACCTGTACCAAACGCTTCAACTGTTCTGCTGAGTTCAATTATTTAGATTTTCGTTGCAACAAATTCATTTCGAGTTACGTTGAAAGGTCACGAGGAAAACATTATATTTGTACATGTCTATTTATTTTTCTATATCTGCTGTTCACATTGCTTTATAAAATAGCAATGTACATGTCATTATTATTATTACTATTATTTTATTATATTATTATATTTGGTGAATAGTGACCACAACATGCGAAAATACATATTGCCCGGAATAAAATGGTAGGACACTCTCTATTTTCTCGTGTTTCTTAAAAACAATGATGTGTACAATATTATTTTCATGACGTGTAACAAGATTGTTGCTATTTTTAAATATTATTTTTCTGAAATTATCAGCATTCACTTAAAAAAGATAGGATATGCTGAAGAAGTAATAATATAAAGAGTATATATGTTAGAATTTAATATAATTAATCTAATATAATATAATTATATAATTTAATTCATTAATCTGTTCTAATATAATTATAATTGAAACAATATTGAGCAGCACAATAAACATATAGATCAGAGTGTTATAACAGACATACGTATTTGCTTCTTGAGAAAAAAAAAGAGATGACTACTACACTATTTCCATTTCATTTTCCATTATGTAAAAATGATCCAGAAATCTAATCACTCGCTATGTGAAATACGATGCTATACAATGTTGAAAGAAATTTAGAAAACTTTTATTTACATTTACAATATTTATTCAAATTTGAGGAACAAATGTGCCTCTCAAGAACAGAGTGTAGTTCATTTCGGTCAAGAATAACTTGGAGGTACAACGATCTTCGTGCTCGTCTCTCGTTCGTCGTGCATTCTAACTCAACGGGAAAATATCTTTCGGGTCTCCTCGAGATACGCTGGCGGGACGTCGTTATGGCGAAAAATACTTGGAGGACAGCCAGTGGGATCACCGGCTGAATATGCAATGGACAACGGCGTGGCAAGGCCGTGCTCGTTCACCCAGATCCACTGGGACTGAAACCGAAAACGTACGGGCGTATGCTGAACTTATTAATAATTTCATGAAACGCCGTCGACTAATTTCAAATGGTTTCTGCGATCTCGCGCCGCTTTAGGCCGATTACCATGGATTCGAGTAATACCTTGAGCTTTGTCGTGCCTCCGACTCGAAACGTGTATTGATTATTATCCTGAGCGATGTTAATCTATATCATAGATAGGGTGTTGTTTTTAGGAAAATTTCATCGTGCTCTTGATGGTGTCCTCCTTTTTTCTCAAGCTTTGTTTCGAACTGTTGAAGCGATATCAATTATTCAGGGACGACAACCGATGTCGATGATTTAGACTCGATGTAATCATTCTTATGGGCTTAAATTAAAAATTAAATTATTAACAGTTATTAACAGGATAAGTTTAGTAACAATTTTTTGAATCCTTAACGATGACACATGTTCATTTGTAATTATGAAATTTAGTACTGCTGAAGTAACTTTTGGCAGAAGTCGCATAGGAATCGAACGTTTTTTGAATATAATGGAGTATTGTTATTCTGAAATATTCATATTAATTTTTTGATCAATTAAAAGATGTTTAGAAAACTTCATCTATTTTGTATATAATTTAAAATATTAATGTTTTTCAGTTGAAAACTTTTAATCCCGCTGTTCTATGTAACACACGAAATAGGTATTACAATTTAATAGATATTAATAAAGTGCCTATAATTTTTAAATATTTTATTTTAGTGTGTATTCTTTGTTTTTCACGAATAAAATACTGCAGAGAGAAAAAGGCACAGCGGCGATATAGAAACGCGGAAAACAGCAGCGTTTAATTCTCTTATGAAATAAATATTAAATTCCTTATTAATTAGCTACTCAATTATTGTTCATTGATATTGTTTACCAACGTTGTTTCATGCTTCCTAACAATGTAAATATTTTGTTACGATACAGTCAAGTGGATTAAATGATAGTTTTCGTATGTCGAGTCGAATTTCATTTGGACGTTAAAGGATTAACACGATAAGATATTATCATTTAGAAAAAGTAGAGCGTCATTTTTTACAAAAATTTAATTACTCTGTTCTGTTTATTTTAAAGTGTTGCTGTTTCCTTTATGAAGCAACAGGACACTTTTCAAAGAAGTATATCATGATTCTTGTAGCCAATTTTGTTTCGTACTTTTTCATTTTTTCATCACTCAAAGTGCACGTTGTGTAAAATTAATTTTCATACCGTTTCCTTTTGTAGACATTTTTCACGAGTTTTCCTCGTTCATATTTTACCCGTGTACAAGAACGGGGAACAAGATGTACAGTAAATCGGCAGTTATTTTAACACCATGAAAGCAACAGGATACTCCCCTTTAGAAAAATTGGATGATCCTGTTCTTTATTCAAGATGACATAATGAGATATTGCTGGAGCTTTGTCGCGAAATTGAACGTAAATCGATTATTATTCGAGCGATGTTAATACAATAAAGCATCGTGAGCTAGAAAAAATTTGATTAACCCGTCCTTTCTTAAAGAACGATGTAATAGAACGTTGCTTCGTCGAGTATTCCTTTCACGTAGCTCATTATATCTCTCTTTACTACTTCATTTCGATCCTCTCGATTTAATTTCCCCATTAAGCAACAATTTATATATCCGATCTCTCTCACGCTACGAGATTTCTATCGAATCTCGATGAAATCCTTCTCGTTTGAAAGTTCATACCATCCGAATGGAATTTTCACGAGAGTGACCAAACCACCTCTTCCCACGCGTTCACTCGAACGCCCACCACTAACCCACCACCCACCACGGCGGCACGATCGCGCATAATTTTCAGCGGGTCTCGTTGACAATTACGTGGCATCATAATAATGAGCGGCGAGCGTGTGTCGCCGATAATCAAGGGCGTGCGCGCGCTTGTTTACGCGGCTGGAACGAGCTACGCAAACTGCCGTTATAATTTCTCGCGTGCGGATTAAATCACGCGGCATGGATTAATTCGCCGAGCGTCATTAGTCGCCGGTGCCACGCTCTCTTATGTTGGCATTAACTCAATAGTAGAAATTCAAACGAATCCGACGTTATCGTTGGGTGTGGATACAAATGCAGTGATTTGATTCGTGAAAGCATGGCAGAATCTTCTCAGAGTCGTCCGAATAATTCGGTATTTGAAGTTAACTCTTCTATTCTGCTGTTCTATTCTGTGCGATGATATATTTTATGAGAACGTGTATATGGTATGATAGAGATATTGCAGTATTACAGTTCGAAAAGCTATAGAATTTATTGGAATATTGTTTAATTCATATAAATTTTAATAATTAAAATATATATACTATATATATTATAGATTGTTAGAATTTGTTAGAATATTGTATAATTCATATAAATTTTAATAATTAAAATTTATATATTATATATATTACATATATTATAGATTGTGAGAATTTATTGGAATATTGTATAATTCATACAAATTTTAATAATTAAAATATATATTATACATATATATATATATTATAGATTGTTAGAATTTATTAGAATTTGTTAGAATATTGTATAATTCATACAAATTTTAATAATTAAAATATATATATTATATATATTATAGATTGTTAGAATTTGTTAGAATATTCTTTAATTCATACAAATTTTGATAATTAAAATATATATATATTATAGATTGTTAGAATATTGTATAATTCATATAAATTTTAATAATTAAAATTTATATATTATATATATTATAGATTGTTAGAATTTATTAGAATATTGTAATACTGTGATATAATATTATAATGCCCTTATGAAATAAACTTTTTCATTCAGATATGAATATGTTTCATGATCAATCATGGTTTCGATTTCTTTGAAATGATTCAAATGATTGTTTCAATATTTTATGTTCTTCATCTCAAAACTTTCGAAACTGGTATTATTCATTGAAATATTAGATATTTAATAAATAGACATTTATTAAATATTTAATGAATACGTGTTTAAATATACCAAGATTTTTAAATAACCTTTCATTACATAAATGAGATATTTATTCAGTTAAGGACTATTATGTTTCTTTGAAATTCTAACGTACTTCAAAGCTCCGAGCGAACGTGTGCATAATTGTTTGTTAGAATAATACATTTGTAATTTCCAAATTTTATCAATATAATCAACATTTTCATAATATAATCACGTACGAATTTTATAAAAATTTCAAAGTGTAACGCATAAAAGTTTCTCATAATAAATGTTATAATACTTTTATCAACCACTGTACGCTTATATTTTCGAACTTGTTTCAAATTTTATCAATATAATTACAAAGTTTGGAGCCTTATTGAAATTTTAAAAACGTTTCACGCAACACACACGCGATATACACGCAAAGTGTTCCCACGTAATAACCGTTCAAATATTTTCACGAGTCACTACATTTTCAACCACGATCGGGATCCATTTCGCGCGAGCGAGTGCAAACACAACCTGGATGGACCTGGTGGCTCGTTTCCTGTTGCCTTTCACGCCCCACAAGTCCACCGTCGCGACAGGAAGAAGAGACGAAGCCCAAGCTTCCAGGTAATGGAAACGCTGCACACGAGGTAAACGAAAGGTTTACTTATTCTCGGAAGATGCTGTTCGCCAGGCTTCACGGGCTTGAAGATGTTGAGAGACGTTGTAATACCGAAGTAGACGGGCCACGAGATAGAGAGAAACGATGGTGTGTGTAATCTGGAAATAGAGCGGAGCTACCTTTCGAATATTTGAAGCTTCCTTCGGGATGTTCGAGCGGACGTTTACGATTAGAATTTGTCGATCGAGAGGCAGAAATTTCTTTCATCGAATGTTCGAAATTTTTGTCGAACTTGTAATCCATGGAGAGTGAATGATAATACAGATATTTATAGAGATAATTTTGCTGATGGTTGGATAGTTTGTAATCTGGGAAGGATTTTTCAATTAATTTGCTTCTTGAATAAATGACAGAAATGACTGATGAAATCTTCAAATCTTTACTTTCGTTTGCAATTTTGTCAAACGTTGGAGAATTCGTTCTGAGTTTTCTTTTTTACTTTTCGTAAAACAAATGATGCATGAAATTTTGCAAAGAATTTTTGAACTGTGTGTAATGTGCGAATGGAATTTGTCAATTGAGTGACATACTATCGACCTCCGTCTCACCGATTTTTATATGGAAAGAGAAGTGGCATAAGAAGAGACACACGAGATAGTTCTTTAAAATTCAACGACGAGATAGTTCTTTAAAATTCAACGACGACCCAGAAAGAAACCTTCGAGAATCCTTGTCCTCATTTTGTCCATTCGTCAATCTTCATGATTTCTAAATGAAATGAATTTAAAGAGAATTCCCATAACACTGTGACTAATAGTCTGTAAAACATCTCAAATATTTCCTTTAGCTCTTCTGTCATATGAACGCGAAGTATGAAGGATATTTCTATAAAAACAGGAGAAAAATCTAGACTATTTTCTTCATTACATTCTCTGTCGTAAAACTTTTAAAACTAGTATTATTCATTTGAGAGTTTTGAAATAGATAGGTATTTAATAAATATCTAATGAGTTTTATTTAAATACCTATTTATTAAGATCTGTCAAAGATTTTTAAATCATTTATCACGTAAATCAAATATCAAATATATTTATAAAATATTTGTTTAAGTATCTAATATTTTATACTCCTTTAAACTCCTCTGATTTCTAATGTGTTTCAAAATTTAAAAGTACAAGAGTAGCATTCATTTTTAAAGATCTTTTGTAACATGTTATCTTCCTTGAAGTAAACCAATTATTACAATTTTATAAGTTTATCTACTCTATACTCTGATATGGATTGAATATTGAAAAGACATATTAAATAGACATTTAAGTATTTAATTTTTTTCAATAGTAAAGAATATTAAATATCGAAATATATATATTTAACTCTACATTTCTAAATCATTCAAATCTCTAAACAACACACTGTTTCACATCTACGAACTATCTAGCAGAAACTATGAATTGACCATTTTGATTATTTTGATAGTTAAATCAAATCTGTTTAACTGGACTGTTTAAATTGTCCAGCTTCTCTATCGTATGCGAGAAAAACAAAGAACAAGAAATGAATTCCCGAGAAAAAGAAAGGCAATTCCAGAGTGCTGGCCTGCACGCGAAATCCCCAAAGCGATCAGCTAATTCAACGATTTCCCTCGAACAAAACCAGCGGTTGTAAAACTTTGAGAACCGGCATTATCCGCCGAGAATTCCCGGACTCGAAATCGAATCGGTGAATCGGTGACCGATCGCTCGAGATAACACGGGTTTATCGACGATATTACAAGAGAAAACTGCGCGAAGGAAAT